TTTCTTTCTCAGAAGTATTCCCAAAATCAGTAATATATAAATCTGAAGCAATATTAAGGCTAAATTTTATTTTTAGTCCACTATGTTGGCTAATTTTCGAAAAAGGTCCATCATATGGGGTATCATCAATAATGGTCAACTAATTAGCTACTTTAATTAAAACTCGTACAATATTCAATATAGTGTACTCAAAATGGCGATCACTTTAGTACACTATCTTGGTTATTGTATGAATTTTGATGAAAGTGACAATTTAGTAGACCATTCTTGATGACCCCCTATATGATGGTTCTTTTTCGAAAAATAGCTAACATAGTGGATCATTTTTAAAATTTTTCTCAATATTAATATATATACCTTTTGAATGAGGGATCTGAAAGCGAGGGAAAGTGGCTCATCAACATTGAGTAGCCTATGCCCGTAGGGCCCAGCACAAGCACAGCCCCCACGGGCCTGAATGCCAAACAGGTCATTGAGAAGTTTGGCCACAAAAGGCCCGTGCAGGGGCTTAGTCAACGTGTTCCCAGTCTCCCTCCAAAAGTCGAGGCCCAGCTTCCCCTCGTTTTTGCTTGATATGTCTGTGGTTGAGAGCACGAGAAAAGACAAGATGGCGTGTCTCTTGACAGCCTTGTTCGTGTTCCCAAGAATCTGAATGTGAGGGTTTCGCCCGAGTCTTTCGAGAGCTCTCCCTATGTAGTTTTTCTCCAGCCTTGATATGGCCTTATAGCCTATGTACTCCTTTATCCAGAAAGCCAATGCGGCTCTTATTTTCTGGATGATTGGTGGTGTTCCCGCGTCTTCCCTTTCCTCTATGTTGTCTATGTATATGGTGTCCTGAGCAATTTGGTAAAATGTTGATTTTTCATTTTAGTAAAACAGACTTTGTAATTGTAATTAATATTGTTGATCAGATAAAAAAATAATAATAATCTATCATTATATAAAAAGAATAACCTTTTTACAAATTTAGAAACTTTTTCCCGCCAAAATCATTAAATATATCCTACATATAGTAATTGTTGGACAAACTTGAATAGGCAAAAAAATCAGTTCATTAATTGTGTAAAGATTTGTTTCTTTTTTTTCATGTTTTTTAGTTTATCAAAACCGTTGTTTGACAATAAATATTTGTTTTTCTTTTTCCTATTTTTAGTATAAATCTACACGAGCTTATCTCTTTTGTTACAAAATCTCATTGCATAAGTCTCACGTCTCATCCCTTATCTATAGAGATTTGAAAAAATAAAATAAAATAGAAACCAATTCATAATTACTACTAGAAATTCATTATCTACCTTAAGAAGCTAATTTTCATCGGTCTAATTACTAATATTTTTACAAATATTATAAGCTAACCATATAAAAAAGTATAATAATAATTTTGAAATAGTGTGTGATTAAAATTTTATATATTCTCTTATACAAAATAATTTTATATTGTTTGACCCCGAATCTTTAATTTATAATTATTAAGTATTTTTTTATCCTCCTCTTTAATTTATAATTATTTTTTTTCTTCCTCTTTTTAAATAGGATCAATAGTAGTTTCCACTTCCGCCATTGAGTGACTCAAACTCGAGGTCTATTTATAATATTGTTAATTTAATATTGTTCTCGTGCATCGCACGGGATACACACTAGTAAAAAACAAAAACAAAAACAAAGAGATGTGCTCCTCATGAATGATGGAGTAAGAAAAATCTTGATTATTAATGGGAGTAAGCTTGCCTGCCCTATCCTAGTAGTATATATAAATCAAAATTCCTGCTATTTATTACTAAACGTACACGGTCTGAAATTTTAATTGGAAAAATTTTGGCACATATATACGCCATTATTGTATGTTTGTCTGAAATAATTAATTAATATGTTTGTTGAGGTAG